CCAAACCTGACTTGGAACTTGTAATCTTCCTGCCCCAACCTCCCCAAGTAGCTGGGATTACAGGCAAATTCCACCAACCCTTCAAGATTTTCTCTTCCTTCTAAAACCAATCCCTCCATATATATTCTTGATCCTGTCACCTCACTACTATGGAAAGTCAATGTTCCATCTACTATCTTCTTTATCTTCAACTTCTCCTATCAGTGCTTTTGTTCCTCAGACAATAAACACACTATATTTATTCCACCATGAAAAAACTATCCCTTTTCACTTTAAAATCAAACCTGAAAAATGTCTACTTCACACTCTAAAAGTTCATGTTTTCCATCCATTCCTTATCTCACTACAACCTAGCTTCTGCCTTTACACCATTCTTTTGAAGCTGCTTTCACCAGGAATAATTTATTGGGTTCTGTTTTTTTTTTTTTTTTTAATATTTTTTATTTGTCAATGGGCCTTTATTTATTTATATGCTGTGCCGAGAATCAAACCCAGTGCCTCATATATGCTAAGTAAGCATCCTATCATTGACCCACAGCCCCTAAAAAGAACTGTTTTTAATTCTTAACCTCTTAGTATTATATAACTATTATCACTCCTTGATTCAAGTATTCTCCCTCTACTGGCTTCAAGGCCATTGCCATTTAATTTCTTTTTGCTTCCTGAATGATTCCTTTCAATTTCAACTGTTTATGGGTTCCTCTCCTGTGTCCAAGCATTGAAGAGATGAGTTAGCTTGCTCAAAGTCACTAAACTACTAGACAGGAAACCAGATACAAAAATGACTTTATAAACATATGTGTGTGTGTATCTCCCTAACAACTATCAGAATTAACAACACATTTCAGTTTCATTATCTGCTCCCTGATTCTATCACTGCAGATACCACTGTTCCTTGAAGGCAGAAAGAAGACTCACCATCATCATCTTCAAAAGGAGAGAGAGCTTTTTAATGGTAACCTTATTTAAAAAAAAAAAAAAAAAAGTTTTTTTTTTTTTAAACACAGAAACAATATAATTCTTTCTACTCTTAACAACACAACAGCCCTCATTAAAGAAATTAGTCTAAGGAATGAGTCAAAAGATATTTATTAAAGTCATATTAGTATTCAGAAGACTGAATGTATTTCAACCTTTAAAGTATTCATATTGTTAAATGAGCTTGAATTTCATAAGTATCCCTAGCTTGCTTCTCTAAAACTAAAGGGATGCAAAAGACTTGGATTCGGGTTTCAGACAAAGGAGGTGAATGTTGCCAAGCTCCTAGAATTTATATAAATGTCAAATATATAATGATTTCTTTGTAACTCTAAGATTCAATGATAACATCATTAATGTGTATATGTACACAAATTAAAATGAAACATAATTATTCCAAGGGTTTTATTGAAAAGATCAATAGATAAACCTACATTCTTCCCATCCAATACAAAAGAAAATGTTCTTTTATTTCCTGATATATAGCTGTCGATACCTTAGATTTACCTACAGTGTCTGCTCAGAAGTGAACCACCCCATTACTGAAATCAGCAGATATTAATGTTCTCAATGCAGTTATTCTGCTCACTTGAACTGTGCTCCTCTTTCTGTTCATCAACATATAATAGTAAACAATAAATTCTCAGAAATAGGCAGTACCTTATTCAGCATGTATTCATGATTCCATTTAGTATGTTGAGAATTTATTAAAATAACCATCTCCTAACTTGTAACAGTCTGACCAAATTTTAAAATAGAAAGGCTTGCCCTCCAGGAGCTTACATACCTGTTCATTTGTTTTTCTCCCTTCCACCACAGAAATACAGGTCATTTTACACAGATTAAACATGGAAAGTGTTTTATACTTATTTTAGTCAATCCAAACTTCCTAACATTAAGTGCACTTTATGATTAAAATAATTTAGTATTTAGAATGTCTACTACTAATCCTGAATTTCCACTCTAAACCAAAAAAAAACTGGAGTAATAGTTCACAACCTGGAGTTCCTTAATCCTTCCAGAAGAAAAGAGAATTAACACTTACCCGACATTATTCAGCTCCCTAAAAAACATAACAAGTGTCCTGGAGATACAGTCAACATTTCAAAAAAGGTGAACACAAATTACATAAATAGAAGAGTAAAATTCTGCAGGCTATTACTTAATAAATACAGACTGGTAAATCTTTCAAGGCATTATTTTACCATAATGTTCCTTTAAACAGGTCTTCCTCTGGTGCTTATTTACACATTCAAAAGGCATATAATTATGATAGCTGTATACTATAATGGATAATGTACAAAGTTCTACAAAAATGCAATGGAAAGGGGAATTAATTCTGCCTGAAAAGGCTTCACATAGATAATATCTGAGCAACTCTTAGAAGGATAATTTAGCTCTCTAGTCTGCAGATGCCTCATGTATTTTTGGTTACAAAATATTACAGAATTTGCAGAATTTACCTGTAAGTTGTATAAATCTTTAGAGATCACTTATCCTGAGACCTTATACCTTCAAAGTAACAGAATCTTTTCTTTAAAAGTCTAATTGACACTCTAGTGTGTAAAACAGGTAAAGTGGATAGACGGGCTCTTTTGAAAGGCAAAGTTATTGAAAAGTTGCTGTACTCAAACTTCATTTTAAAATATGAAAACTGAAACACTAAGAAAGACAATGATTTAAAGGTCACATAGAAACAGAAAGGAAATAATTTATTGAAAGTTCACCTGTTAAGTCTTATCTCCCCTTTTAAGTCTTGCTTCTCTCTCCACTTGGAATTTATCACTCCTTACTTCATTCCCTGGTCTACCTGGCACATGTTTCCATTGTGGCTTCTATAAAACTTTTAAGTGACCTAATTTTATGTGTCTGTATTTCTCTACTACATTGTAAGCTCTCTGAAAGAAGGGAATGTCTTAATCATCTTTGTATATCACCCAGAATAAAATGTTGTGTACTGCATTGTATCTGACCAAGTATCAAAAAAGATTAAAGTTGGCCTGGTACCTGGCACATAGTAGGATTTAATATTATTTATCAAATCAATTTGTGGAACATAAGGTTATTAAATAATATACCTAAAGCAGTTACAACAGAGTTTGATACACTGTGTCTATTCCATGAACATTAGCTATTATTATGTAACCTTATATAGATAGGGAAGAAAACCCTGAAGCCATTATTGAAATTTTAACCTGAAAGACAAAAACTAAGCAACTTTTATCAAGTTTTCAAATTGCTCATTTACATATTACTAATACAAGCACATATTTCATGAGAAAAAGACAAAATCTTGTACATCTTAAAGGATGGCAGCCTGGGAAAAAATAATACAGAGAGTTGTATGTGATTAATCTCCAGACCTGGAGTGAAAAGAGAAAATGGACTGGTCTTAATCTTGGGGCTAAGTCATATCTTTCTACACCTCAGTTTCAGTCACCTGTGAAATGGGGGTGGTGAAATGTTAACTCTAGGCTTCTTTCCTGCTCCTGCTCTAACACTGTAATATATTTGGACCTAGAATCTTTCAGCTTTCAACTCAACATGAGTTAAAAACTTTATTTTTTAAAAAACCAGCAAATAGTGCACAATGGATTTGGTGTCAGAAGGCCTGGATTTTCATACCAGTCTGGTATCATTTAGCTGTGTCATTCTGAGCAAGAAGCAAACTCTCTGGGTCTCAATGACCTCAACCTGTAAAACGAAGGTGTTGGACAATATGAACTCTTTAAAATACATCACGGTCATGATATTCTATGAAATAAACTAGCTCTAAAGGAAATAGAGATTAAGTCACCATTTATTAAAGATGTTTAGAGGGCTCTGCATAAACCAAAAGTAGAGAATTTCAGGATTAGAAGACTACCTCTCAATCAACTGAGGAACAAGTAACTCTCCAATGTATTTTTGGAAGAGGTCTCCCAACGATTCTAGTTCTGAAGAACGACCCATGGGGAAAAAGTCAGTCATTTCATCTTAGGCCAACTATGATGCAAAGTTCTTTACTGAAGCCAACCCATCCTCTTATAACTTTTGCCCCCTACTTTTACCTCTCACTCACCTCTCAAATGTTTCTGGTTAGCGGTATCTCCCCTTAACTATCCTCTCCTCCAAAATTAAGATTCTCCAACTCTATCCATCTTTCCTCCCAACAGAGTACCAAAACCCCCTTACCGCCCAACCCGCCTTCCTCCATTCTGGCTTTAGTGAAAGTCAAAATTACTCAAACAGCTCTTTCCATTCTGACACGCTGATTCGCTATGGAACCTAAGATTTCTCACTTACCCAGCTGATACCACCCCGCAGGCCCTAATTGCCCTTGCCCCCTCCACTCAAGGAAGCCCTTGCGGGGAGAAGTATGCCCTGTTACCCCGAGAAAGAGAAAGAGAGAGGGAGGGAGGGAGAGAGACACAGAGACACAGACACACACATACACACACACACTCTCACACAGAGACAGAGAGAGAAAGAAGTGACGGCGGCGCCAACACAGGCCCGCACCCTGTTCTCCCCATCCAACCTCCTCCCTCACCGGTACTGCTTGGGGTCGCTGGGAGACTTGATGATCTCAGGGTCTCCGGCATTACTGAGAGACCCCCTCCGTCCCTCCTCTTCGGATTCATCCGCTCCTAGACGGGCAACCCGGCCGCTCTCGCCCAAATCCTGTCCATTGGGTTGCAGTTCAGGGCAGCTGCAGGTGGACTTCGCCTTGTTCCTTCCGGGCATGGTCACAGTAGGAAAAGGTCTGGTAGAGTCTTCACACCGACCCAGCGCTCCGATTCTCCACAGCGCCGCGAGCTCCCGCCCGGCCTCACACAACTTCCTCCCGGTGGCACAGACTGCAGCAACCGCGACTCTCCTCAGCATTCACCACCAAGCCGTAGCGATGGGCATCCCGCTCCCCAGGGCCCACCCCCTCCTCCTCCTCCTCCGCGTTCCAGAGGCGGCGGCCGCGGCCGGCGCTGATGCTGCCGCAGCCGCAGGGGAGGACAGGCCTGAACCCCTCCCCCAACTCGGTCTCTCTCACGCTGACTTCTCTCATCCCCCGCCCCCCTGGACGCGGTGACGCTACTGACGTTAGCCAATCACGAGACAAGAAGGCAGTCACGCTCATGGGAACAACCAATGGTAACAGGGAAGGAAAGGAACCAAAGGGACCCGGCTGGATTCTCGGAGCACCCAGAGAGCATTTCGAAGCCTAACGTGGGCGGGGCGACAGAGAGGAGGCCGAGTGACGCGGAGGACGACGGGAAAAGGGCGCCTGCGCCGCGTTTATGACGTATTCGGCAGCGGCTTTAAGGCAGTAAGTACTGCTCCGCGTCTCAGAAAAATATTCCCCTAGTGAGAAAACTGTGAAGCGAAAGCGGATAGATTGAATTACAAAGTCTTCTCCCATTCGCGTTATATTTTGTGAACTCTGCCTCTCAAACTCGAGGCCGAACGTCTGGCCGTGACTCATCATATAACAAAAAGCAGAAGGCCGGAAGTCTTTTCCTACGCCCAGGAGGTGGACGCTGCCCCCCGGGGGAGTCAAGCGCCGGAAATAGCAATTGAACGTTTCCGCCGCTTTCCTGTCAAGTGCTCTTGCTTTTCGCCCTCAAACCTTATGAAAGTGATTGAAAGATCGGTCTGGACATTTTTTGGCTCCGCCACAGACTAGGGTCCACAGTTATCTTACCTTTAAGTTCACCCAACTTTTATTGAACAACTACGACGTGTCGGCGAGCTGCTTTTAAGTTTTTTCTGCTTGCAGTAGCCTTTGATGGGCAAGCTAAAATGTGACTTAAGTATAGACACAATTAAAAAAAACGTAGCTGACAATAAGATACTGACAGGTTCCGATGATACTAGCACATATAAAAATGAACATGAATGAATGGAGAAACACTTGAAGCAGGGATATGTACTGTGGGCTATTATATCTTAAGTTTTTCTAGGCCTCTTCTGAGCTCCAGGCATGGGATAAAGCCCTGAAAAAAAAATGGGGTATTCAAAAAGTAATAAATGCTATGAAGAATACAGGATAGGAGGATAAGGAGTTGGGGAGGACAGGTGTGGAAGGTTCAGGCAGGAAAGGATGAAACCTGAACTGGGGCAGAAGATGATATTGAAAAGTATTGTTCAACGATCCCAGTTTTCAAGAACCTATCAGCTTTTTAAATAAGCAGCTCCGCTAGACTGCCCTCCTTCGGAGCAGGTTTTTTTTCTTTGTATCTCCAATCTCTAGCATGGCTTCCCAAAACATAGTAAATCATTAAATGTTTGCTATTGAGTAAATACCCGCAGCGACATTGTCTATATTGTGTTAAGAATTATTTTTCTCTCCAAAGCAATAATGCCAGAAGTGAGAAATCATCCAAGTACAGCTAGCAATTAGATTTTCCTTACTAAAAAACAGAATTTACATCTTTAAGTGTGACCTATTAGTTTTCCTTTATTTTTTACTTTGCAGTACTAGAGATTGAATCTACAGCTTAACACATGCTCAGCCAAGCGCCCTACCGCTGAGCTACATTTCCAGCTCTTAGAATTTTGCTTTAAAAAGATCTCTTAGTGGGGCGTGGTGGCACAAGCCTGTAATCCTAGCTGTTTAGGAGGCTGAGGCCAGAGGATCACAAGTTCAAAGCCAGCCTCATCAAATTAGTGAGACCCTGTATCAAAACATAACAAAAAAGGCTGGGGATGAGGCTCCGTGGTTAAGCCCCCATGGATTCAATCACTACAATAAGTTCAAAAAAAAAAAAAAAAAACTCTGAATTTTACAAGTCACCAGATTCAAAATATGGCAACACCGTATAGTGTGGCATTCCATGTATTCATTCTATGTATTCATTCCACCAACAAATCCAGCTGGGAATAGAGTGATGAACAAGAAATTTTCTAGTTCTTTTGATTGTGAATAGTTCCAGAAGGAGATAAAGACACATAGCCCATAGCCTGGCCAAAGAGTTCTCTAAAGAAGGAAATTTAAGCTGACATTTGAAAAATATATAGGAATGGTGCAAGAATGTGTAGGAATGGGTTTGTCAAAAAGCTTTTGATAATCGGGTCAGTATGGCTAAATTACAATAATCTGGGAGCAAAAGGGAAAGAGATGAGTGGCAAAAAAAAATCATACAAAACCTAAGAGTAAGTCACTATTTTGTGTATTTTTTTTGTATCATTGGATTCCCAGCTCTTTGAATGGTTTCTGAAACTCTGTAGTATTTATTCAGTAAATAATGACTGAACAAATGAAGAGAAGTCATGATCACAAGTGTTTTCCAAGTAGATCACTGTGGCTGATGTGTGAAAAATAAATTGGATGGTGAAGGGCCAGGGAAAGTCTGTAAATGAGAAAAGAGGGAGCAGAGCCAGGTATGTGATCTGTGCCTAAAGTTCCAACTACTCAAGAGGCAGAGGTAGGAAGATTGCTTGAACCCAGGAATTATGGGCCAGCCAGGGAAACATAGAGAGACCTGACTCAAACTTTAAAAAGAAAAGGAAGAGGAAGAAGTTGAGAGGCTACTAAATAATATAGGCAATAAAAAATAACTTGAGTTTGGGGAATGATGGTGGAGATAGATAAGTGGTGTATTTAGGAGGTAGAATTGACAGGTTTATTAGTAGTTGATTTGATGTGGGGGAATAAAGAAGAGAGTAGTGTAGGCATAACTTTCTAGCTGATTTTCTGGCTGGATAGATGATAATCCCAGTAATTTTCAGAGTTTCTGAAAGGCAAACATTTTAGAAGGAGAAGAGCATTGGCTCAGTTTTGGACTTTGAGTCAGGTTGAGTTCAAAAAAGAGACCTAAATTGGAGATCAAAATGTTGTGGTTTATCAGTTTCTAAGTTGTAACCAAAGCCTACTGAATAAGACCACCTCAACCCCCATTGAAATTGTGAAGTAAAAAGAGAAAAGGGCCCTAGGACCAAGCTGTGAAGAGGAAGAACTCACAAAAGAGACTGCCAAATTGGTAAGAGAAAAAGCAGAATGTGATGTCCAAGGAAAAAATAATTCTCTGATGCTGGGCTGAGTATAATTTCGAGCCCATAGCAAATGTCAGAATTTCAGATTAAATGTATCAAATATGAAAATTGATAAGGCATCACAGAAGTACTTTAGTTTGGGTCCTTTAGATACAAAAATAAATACCTAGCAATGGAGATGAAGCTCACAAATGACCTATGGCATAACCAGGACTTTCAAACCAAAAGCATTATTTTCCCATTGAAAATAATTTTAAAAGTTGCCACACCTCATTTGCTCTTTTTTAAAATGTGTTTTTAGTTGTAAAAGGAGACAATAACTTTATTTTGTGTATTTATTCTTATGTGGTGCTGAGGATCGAACCCAGTGCCTCACGTGTGCAAGGCAAGTGCTCTACCTCTGAGACACAACCCCAATCCCATACCTCATTTGAATACTCATAGTTATTATAAAAAGTATTTCCTGGAGGAAACATTAAGTCAAGCTACTTCCATTTATAAGAAATTGAGCTAAAATAAATAAATAATAAAGTTAAAGATCACAGGATTATAATTTTAACCCTATTTATCTAGTCTTTCTTACAGTATATAAATGCTTTTTTTTTCCATTTCCACTCCATCATTAGCATCCTATACTCCTTTCCAGCTTACCTCGTAGATTTCCTTCTCATGAGGTAGTGACCCTTTGCTCTCTATTATTCTGATGAAGTTCAGAAATCATGAAAAAATAAAAACATCTCATTTCTATGTTTGATGCCTACCTCTGAAAATTATTTTAATTTTAGTCAATGTGATAGCTGTCTACCTACCAGAGAAACAAATCTGAGCTTTACTCCTAAAAACTCAAAGGTAAGTTATTCTTAACCCCATTATTCGCCTTTATATTTTGAGAGTTAGGAAAAGTCAAAAGTATGATGGAGTATTGGTTCTACGTTGAGTAGATGTAGAATTCAATACGTCTGGTGTGGCATAAGCCCATTTAGCTTCAAGCCCAGAATTATCTTCCTTTTTCTAGTACCTAAAATTCCCGTATCTGTGATTCATTGTAATCTTTTATGACTCCTCTTAAATGCCTGTTACACTTTTGAAAGAAATGAAAACTAAGGCCATTTTGTGACTAGTGTTTCAATTTTAGAACACTCTCTGGGAAACTTGAGATCATCATAAACCTGGGGTGGGTGAGGAAATTACTAAATGTAGGTGAAAAGGCAAAGAGGAGGTAGGTAACAACAGAATTATTATTTACAAAATACTGTCTGTGGCCCACGCTCTAAGAAATTATACCTTTGGAGCTCTAGCTATTATGGGTCCCACCCACTGATTGTTATCCACCTTTGGCAGTTTTGTATCCAGGTCAAGAAATAGGCCTATTTTTATGGAGCTTTGTTTATGTAATATACAAAGTAATTTATGAGATTATAAAAACAGTTTTCTCCTTTATTATAAACATGGTTATAGGAGGAATTTAGTGCTTAGACCTTAAGATAAATTAGGAATTGCTCTAAAAATTATGCCAAATGAAAGATTATTCTATAACCAGTGCCCCTCTTCTGGTTTAAAGATATGCATTTTAAGACTTTGTCTAGAAAGGAAAATGTGAAGACACAAAAATTATGTTTATAATATATAATTCAGATTATGTTGTTATTCTTTTTAAAATTCATCAATGGCCCCTCTTTTATTTTTTTCCTCCTGGTACTGGGGATTGAACCCCAGGGGCACACTGCCACTGACTACATCCCCAATACTTTTTTAAATTTTTATTTTGAGATATAGTCTCTCTAAATTGCTCAGACTGGTCTGAAATTTGTAATCCTCCTGCCTCAGTCTCCCCAATAGCTGGGATTATAGGCCTGTGCTAGCATACCTGGAACACACTGACTGGCTAGCTGAGTATTTTATTTATTTGTTTGTTTGTGTTTGTTTTGGTTACTGGGGATTGAAACCAGGAGTACTTTACCACTGAGCTAGTCCCAAGTCCTTTTCACTTTTTATTTTAAGACAGGGCTCATTAAGTTGCTAAAACTGGCTGGGATTACAGGGGAGCACCATTATGCCCAGTCACAATGACTTTCTTACCCTAACACACCAGGATATTTCCTTTTTTAGGGCTGTTATCTCTGCCTCTTGGCCTGGAATATTCTTCCTTTAAATTTTGCATTGCTGGCTCCTCATGAGTCATACAACAGTTCAAATGTCATTCTCAAGAAGTGTCTTCTATTATCCAAAATAGTATTCATTATTTGAAATTATATTATTTATTTGTGTATCGGCTTTTTGACTATATACTGTCTATATTATCAGTCCATGCAGAGTTGGTATTTCATTTGTCTT